CCAACAGAATGCGGTCCTGTCTGTGCTGCCCCACCTGCACCGTGAGGGTTGTGGTGGGGAGCAGGGCTGCTCTGCACCAGAGGACCCAGGAATCCCTGGGCTTCCCTAGAGGGAGAGGCTGAGGAGAGGTTTCAGCTGGCTGCCCGGGAGGCTGGCTAGTTCAGGGGTGTGTGGCCTGAGCTCTCTGATGTGTTCTGTTCATGAGGGTAACTAGGCAGGTTCCAGCGTGGTGGTGCTAGCTATGTGCTGGCGTCCTACCTGCCTGCTACTGCGCCTGGGGCAGCTTTGAGCTCAGACGCACTGGGAACTGAAGAGCACATTGGGTTTCAAAGACCGAACGCTGGAGAAAGGTAGACAGAAGACCTCAACTACTTGATCTGGTGCTGAAGGCTGTCATCCCAGTGTGTGGGAAGCCAGGGCAGAAGGGTAGGAGTGCAAGACCATCAGGGATACACAGAGAGACCCTCTCCAAAACACATAATGATCGTGCACGAACCAAATCGTGTTTGTACCGATGTGTCCAAGTAACACTTTGCACTTGTTGGGTTCTGTAGGACTATTTGAAAACAAAATGTCTTCACTTGCTTCTTTCTGCCTGCCAGGGTGGCTGTAGGGTATGTAGGGCTGCATTCCCATTGGACAGGGCTGGTGGAGCCCAATCCCCCAGCGCACACGGGAGCCATGGGGTCCTAGGCTTCTGAGCTGAGAGACGCATTTCAGACAGTGAATTAAATCAACAAAGGTACCCGGGGGAGACAAAGGATCCTGGGCTCTGATGGGGTCCTTAGGAAGTGGACCAGAGCCACGACCTTAGTGGGCCCGGGGACTCTGGGTGACACGTGTGTGTTGGGGAACCAGGGCAGAAGGTGGGGGGGAGGGGTTGATCAACGGGAAGACAGTCAAGAGAGTGGGAAGGAGAGGATGGAGGAAGACAGAAGAGGAGAAAAGGAAGGGGTGTGTCAAGGAGAAGAACGAGAGGAGGAGGGAGAAGGGGAGGCGAAGAGAAAAATGGGAGGATGGGAGGAGGTTTCTTTTTCCTTCCTTCATCCTTTTTGTAATTTTTAGTTTTTGAGACAGGGTTTCTCTGTGTAACAGCCCTGGCTGCCCTGGAACTCACTCTGTGGCCCAGGCTGTCATCTAACTGAGTGATCTGCCTCCCTAGTGCTGGGATTAAAGGCGTGTGCCACCACTGCCTGGGTTTTTTGTTTGTTTGCTTGTTTTGTGTTTTTTTAAGCTTATATGGCTTATTTATTATGTGGTACTGGGAGCTGAACTCAGAGCCTAGTGCATGTTGGATGAGTGTTCTGCCACTGTGTCCCAGCCCCAAGGAGGGGCGTCACTGAGAATAAAAAGTAAAATTCCTGGCAAGATTAAAAATAAAAATTTTAATGACACTAAAGAGAAGTGAGGAGGAGGAGTAAAATAACAGACTGGAGAGAGCTGAGAGTTGAATGTGATGGTTCCTAGCCGGGCAAGGCTGTTAAACACTAGAAATCTGACAAGTCCAGCCCCAAGTGGTGGTACTCTTGGGAGGTAGAGACAGTAAGTAGGATCTCTGTGAGTTGCAGACCAGCCAGGGCTACACAGTGAGACCCTGTATACGAATCCATAAGAAGAAGAAGGAAAGAAAAGAAAGTGTGTCAAGTCTAAAGAGAAGTGCACTGGGAGCCTAACACACACCCAGGACCTCCCCAAGGGTAGGGCATCTTGTCAGAGCTTATATTAATTAATTACATGTGAGAGAGACAGCATGTTTTCGTTAATCTCACCTCCTCCTTCTCCCGTGGCTACCAGGACACCCTGACTTAGACACTTAGCTCCCAGCTCTGTCCACGGGAGAGGATGGAGGCTAGCCCAAGCCCCGACTTCAGGGGGGAGGAGGCCTTCGCCTCAGCCCCAGCTGTGATGTGCAGAGCACACAGACCGTCCCAGGGCAGAGGAAAGAGCCCTTTAGGAAGGAGGCCATGGGGCTGGGATGGCTGAGGGCGAAGGGAGCAGCGGGGCGGGGCTGGGGCCAGCTTCAAGGTGGAAAGCAGCAGAGGGCAGTGGAAGGAGGACTTTGACCGGAAACGGTTCCCCAGCCCCCCCCCCCCCCCCCCGCCGCGCCCCGCCAACCTCCAGTCAAGGAGCAAGAGCAAGAGGTGCAGCAGGGTCCACGGCTCCATCCAAGAGGTCGCCTGGTTCGGAGCCCACTGCTACTGGTGTTCCTGACAACCCGCAGAAAGAACACCAGGCCCCGGGGACCAGAGTCACAGGGTTTCAGCACAGAGGCAAATGGCAAGGTCAAAAGACCAGGCACCTCTGGCCAGATGTCAGGAGCCGAGATAGCTTCAGAGGACTGCCCTCTCTCTCTGTCTCTCTCTGTCTCTCTCTGTCTCTCTGTCTCTCTCTCTCTCTGTCTCTCTCTCTCTCTCTGTGTATGTGTGTGTGTGCATATGTGTGTAGAACCAGAGGTCAATACTGGATGTCTTCAATTACCGTCCACCTTTTATGTGTGTGTGTTTGTGTGTGTGTGTTAGTGTGTGTGTATGGTGTTTGTGTGCCTGTACAGAGGCCAAAGGATGACGTAGTGTGATCCGCTCTAGTACTGTCTACCTTATTCCCTTGAGACAGGGTCTCTCACTGATCCTGAAGCCAGCCCCAGCAGCCCTCCTGTCCTGTGCCCCATACAGTGCTAGGGTACAGGTGAACGCACAGACAGACCAAGCTTTCTATGCAGAAAGCTTCTCACGCTTGCTTAGTAAGAGCTTCTAGCCACTAAGTTGCCTCTCCAAGCATGCCTCCTCACTGAACCCAGTGTGGCTGGATGCTCCTGAGGTCTTTGCTCTGCAATGCTGGGGTTGCAGGCACACGCTGCCGCCGTTCCCTGCTTTTGTTTGAGCCATGAGGATTTAATGCTTGCACAACAAGCGCTTTACTTAGTGAGCATCTCCCCAGCCCTGCCCCCAACAAAGAGCATCCTTTAAAAACATCCCTTCTCCCCTTCTCTAGTGGAAATGACAAGTGAACGGGGACTTTGGCATCCGGGAGAGGAACTATTGACACATTAGAGGCTTTCAATGAACATTTGCCCAAAAAACAGATGAGTGGACCAGGAGCCACGCCTTTAACCTCAGCACTTCAAAGGCTGAGGCAGGAAGATCACTGTGTGTTCGATGTCAGCCTGATCTACATAGTGAGTTCTAGGACAGCCAGAGCTATATAGTGAGACCAGTCTCAAGAAAAAAAAAAAAAAAAGACCCAAACCAAACAAGAAACTGATGAGTGCATGCTGTGTCCAGTCCTCGGGGAAAGGGGTCTTTTTCTGTGTTCCCCACAGAGCATAGAGCCCCCGAGGGTTCTTCCCACTGGAATATTCCCTTTTAAATTCTGCTCTGGGAATCCTGTGATTTGGGAAACCTGTACTCTTACTCTAATCCTTGTCAACAAGTGGGGGCCATGAGCCAAAAAAGGTGGGCAAGGACTGGCCTTTAGGGAAAGGTGAGCAATCAGTCCTTGTAGCCTGAGGAGACAGGAGGAACCATCCAGTCACACTGCTAACGTGAAATTTGTTTTTGTCTTTTGGGTTGTTTAGGGTTATTTGTCAAGGCAGGATGGCCACCATGCTGGCTTCCTAAGCTTAAAGTATGAAGTTTTCCACAGCATAGAGTCCTGGGAAGTTTTCAAGGTCTCTCTCTGGAGCCTCAGCAACACATGCCACATGAATGGTGGGTGTGTGGAGAGGGTGGAGAACAAGGCGCCCTACCGGGGTTGACGGCCAGAGCGTGCAATGCAGGAGACGAGGTAGGGATGACTGAGAAGGAGTCCTGAGGCCCAGGCCCAAGGGGCGGCTCTCCGGCTCATAGAGAGCTGGGATACAGAGTCCGTGTGACTCCAGAACGAGCGGCTAGAGAGGCAGAGATGGAGAGAGCTGCAAGAGAGCTTTGCTGGGCTTTGCAAAAACAACAAACAAATCGGGCACTTGAGAGGCAGAGGCAGGCGGATCTCTGTGAGTTCGAGGCCAGCCTGGTCTACAGACAGAGTTCCAGGACAGCCTCCAAAACAATACAGAGAAACCCTGTCTCAAAACAAAACAAAACCCCTAAAGCACAGGGCAGGGCTCTGCCAGATGTTGAGAGCGCATCTCAGTTGGCAGCCTCATTCTCCAGCCACATAATCGTCTTACCAGTTTCCCTGACAACTATGTGCGGCTGCTTGACGGCTCTTAGAAATACACAGATGTCCCTGAGAAAGGCATCCCGTTTTCAATGAAAAGGCAAAGGGTTTCACACTTCCTCCTCCATGCTTGCGACTGGGTTGTGCTCTACGGAGCGGCAACCGCGTCTCTGTGACCGTGAGGCACCCAGATGAGCACAAAGGTCTACACTGCAAGTTCGGTTGAGCAGAAATCAGTAAAGAGCTTGGATCCTGCATCCTGCCTGCTGCCCTAGCACGGCTGGTTTTCTTTCCAAGACAGGGCCTCACTGTGTGTGTGTGTGTCACAGAGTGGTCTAAACACTCAGTCCTCTCCCAAGGGCAGGGGCGACAGGCGTGAACCACCATGACTGGCTCCCTGGATTTGTCATCCCAGGAGATACAGAAACCAGGCTGTTAAAACTGACTTTAACATCCTCCCAATCTGGGAATCTGCTTTGCTGCTGACCATGGTTTCCAAATCTGGGCACCAAACCTCCCTGCTCTAGAACTGCTCTAGAATGTATGCATGAGTGACTACTTCCTGCTGTGGGCTCTGGGAGGTCCCAGACAACCTTCCAAAGACTTGCTGAGTTCCTTTTCTTGTAGCTCAGCAATCCACTGAGACAAAGGGCTAACAGATCCAGCCAGGACGGCTGCTTGAGGGGTGAGTTGGGGAAGGAAGGCTCTAGATGACATAACGGCCTCCACACCGCTCCCCACTGAAAGACATTTGGGGACAAGCACAGGAGCATCTCTGCTTAGTGTCAGCTCTGATGTCCTCAGGGTCACCATTTGTCCTACTCTTCTCCGCCCTCCCCGTCTAGGTCCCTGCCCTTCAGCCACCTGTGCCTCCCACGCACCTCGCACCTGCATCAGGGCCTCTGAACACCTCTGCCTGCAAGGCTCAGTCTACCCCAGGGGCATGCACACGCTCCCTCAGAGGCCACCAGAGGCCACGGGACCCTGACCCTGCCGAGAAGCCACTCTGACACCTGCCTGGTGACCCTGACCCTGCCAAGAAGCCACTCTGACACCTGCCTGGTGACCCTGACCCTGCCAAGAAGCCACTCTGACACCTGCCTGGTGACCCTGACCCTGCCAAGAAGCCACTCTGACACCTGCCTGGTGACCCTGACCCTGCCGAGAAGCCACTCTGACGCCTGCCTGGTGACCCTGTTGGTTTGTGTGTTTGATGCTCACTGTTCACTCGAGACTCTCAGTAACTGAGAATAGGAAGTGTCTGTCTAATGTCCAGCACAAGAAGACAATAAGAAAAGAAGCATGAGGGGCTGGAGAGATGGCTCAGAGGTTAAGAGCACTGACTGCTCTTCCAGAGGTCTTGAGTTCAATTCCCAGCAACCACATGGTGGCTGACAACCATCTACAATTCAATCTGGTGTATATGTAATAAATAAATAAATCTTTAAAAAAAAAAAGAAAAGAAGCATGTTGGAATCTAAGTAAGGAGAACTACTGCACTTAGCCTAGGAGACTGCAATGCTGGGGAACGAGCCCAGGGCTTGGGACACACTAGGCCAGCCCTCTGTCACTCAGCCATAGTCCCGCCCTCTGTCACTCAGCCACAGTCCAGGCCCTTAACTAACCAGGTTTGCCACACTAGAGGCCGCACTCTGGGGACTGAATTTAACTTTATCCCTGTGATTTAAAGAGCTAACGTGAAAAACAATACCCTTCCTATAATCCAAGTATTTGTTGCACAGTTCAGAACTGATAACTATACAATAATTATAAAAAAGACCTACTGTGGAATCATCTCTGTGGAGCTTCCAAGAAGAGAGAAAGAAGAAGAGAGGAGAGGAGAGGAGTTTGAGTCTAGGAGCACGGGAGACACCAGAGGAGATGAAGACGAAACAGGAGGTACAAGGCGGGAGAGAGGTAACAAGCCACGAGACGAAACTTAGACTAATAAACTTAAGTTATAAGAGCTAGTGTCCAAGCCCAAACTATAGGCTGAGCTTTCGTAATTAATAATGTCTCCATGTCGTGTTCTGTGAGCTGACGGCCCAAAGAAAAATCTGTCTACAAAGAGCCACCGTACTCTGGCCACTGTCCAGCGTGGATTAGCTACGTTGTTTTGAGACAAGGTCTCAGACTATATCCCAGTTGGCCTGGAACACACCGAGAGCTGCCGCCACTCTAATTCCAAATGCCTGACCAAACTTTGTTCTTACATCAAGGAGAGGCCTTTGTGATGCTCACCGTACACACAAGAAACAGACTCAGGGCATTGAGTCAAGTGTCTAAACTCACAAAGCAGGGAAGCCCCATCTCTCCCAGGCCCCCTTAGTGATCTGCCCCAGCTAAACTCGGACACAGCCCCGCCCCTCCCCAAGAGCTCTGGCCCCATTGCCCGAGCCTGCGCTGACCCTGCCTTGAGCTGTGTGAGGGCCTCCTCCACTCGCGGCTGGTTGTATCGAACCATGTAGCTGTGCATATCAGGGTAGTTGCTACGGATATTCTTCTCCGTGGACCCGTTGGGCACCGTCCCAAACTTCAGGGGTGGGTATTGCTCCTGGGGCCGCTGGAACTGGAACAGAACGGGGAATTGTTAAGGTACCCTCTAGGAAACCCCCCAAATCAAATGTCCCATTCTGGAGAGCCAGCCCTTAATTTGCTGGATTGGGAATGGGCTAACCAGTCTATTCAGAAATAGCTCTGTAGCCAGGTGTTGGTGGTACGCGCCTTTAATCCCAGCACTCGGGAGGCAGAGGCAGGCGGATCTCAGTGAGTTCGAGGCCAGCCTGGTCTACAGATCAAGTTCCAGGGCAACCTCCAAAGCTACATAGAGAAACCCTGTCTCGAAAAAACAAAATAAAGAAATAACGAGAAAGAAATAGCTCTGAGAAGCACAAATGCAGCACACAGGGGTGTGTTGGCTCAGTGTGGCGGAACCACATCCCTTACTGTGTAAGGTATGACCACACATTTTGTGTATCCTGCTATTCTACCTCCATCCCACCGGAAGCAGCGCTCAACCCTCTAACAGTTTGCGACACTGGCTTGGCCACTGTAGTTTCAGTGTCCCGCATGGCTGCTACCCCGTGTGCTGTGGGTGACATCAGGAGGCAGGAGTGCCGCGGGGTGGGCGTCTGGAGTGCTTTGATGAAGTAGTTTTGCATATGTTGAATCTCATCAGTAAAAATTTGGAATTGACTTTATAGTTGTTCTTACTTGAGACAGACACTTACTAGCCTGTCCCTGAATTCATGATCCTCCTGCCTCCGCCTCTGGAGGGCTGCAATTCTAGGCATATATCGTTAGCCTGAGATTGATTCCTGTATGTCCTGGTGTTAAGTGCTGTTTCTACATTTCCAGTGATTCATTGCTAATATATTTTACTCGATCATAGTCTCCAATGGATTAGCAGTGCCACAAATACAGTCTTCATTACAGCGTGCGGGAGGCACTTGTCTAGAAAGCCTTACTGGGCATTGCTGCTCCTGGGACGTGGGGACACCCTCTTTCCCCAGGGAGGTTGAAATCATTCATCTCCTCCCAAAACCTCCCATCTCTACTGCTCTGGAACCCTTCTGCTCTGGGACAGGTGTCAAGTCAGCTGACCCTGCCTCCGGCACACACCTTCCGGTCACTGAGCCCAGACACGGTGTCCACGTACTCCTCCTGGATCATGAAGGCGGCCAGATTGGCCGTGTAGCTGGCAAGAAAGATGACGGCGAAGAAGGCCCACACCAGAACCATGATCTTGCTGGTGGTGCCCCGAGGGTTCTCCACGGGCACCGAGTTGTTGAACACCAGGGCCCAGAGCAGCCAGATGGATTTCCCAATGGTGAAGGTGGAGCCACCAGGGCCTGTGGGGAACCAGGACAGGACATGGACCTCACAGCCCTTCCGCTCCCCAGGAGAGGAGAAAGGACTGCCATTCCTCGCTCTACCCCAGAGGCTACTGGGAAAACAGTTCTTTGTAGGGTCAGGTGGGAAGGGGACTCACGTTTGCCTGTGGCCAGGCTGCGGTTATAGCCCACAGGACTGAGGTACTCAAAGATGAAAACGGTGACGGCAACCACGGTGAGGCACATGACGAACATCATCACCCACACAGCTGGGCTGTAGGGCTCTGGGGACACGGGAGGTGTCAGCCAGGCAAGGGCTTGGGGGCCAGGTGGAGCCCAGTTGACTCCATCCTGTTCTGTTCCCTTTTCTGGTCCCTGCTTCAGGGACAGCCTATAGACTCCTTGTGGTAATCTTTCCCGCTTGTGACCATTTTTGTGCTTTTCACCCCCTAATTTAGATGTCTACTACAAGACTCAGGACTGGAGTCTCCACTTCCCCTGCTTTCCCTCAGGGCCATTCATCCCATCCCAGACTCCACCTCGCGGCAGCCACCACAGCCTAGCCCAGGCCACACACCTTGCCGTCCATCTTCCTTGTTCACAGCTGACAGACTTTGCCCCTGCTCCCTGCCCCTGCTCCTTGAGCCTGTCCTCCCCACCCACATGGCTGGCAAGGAGCAAGCCTGGTCTGTCTGGGACCATCTCCTGGGCCTCATGGACCCCACCGGAAGGGAGACTGCCGAGAGCAAGAGGGAACTGACATGGCCGGCTGGCCTTGTCCTCTTGCCCACTTCTGCTGTCCCTGGCTCAAGAGATGATATTTCTACCCAAATGTACCACAATGTGGCTTCCTGATCGCACCCCAAACCCAGCATTTGGCCTTGCTGCTGCTACACACCTCCATCCTTGGTGTCTTGGACCACTGCTTCCTGCGTCCACAGAGCTATCAGCAACTCACATCTGAGCATACATTCCTCATTACCTTCTGAAGGCAAGCCCTTGCCACCGCAGAAAGAGTAAAGCCCAGATTCTCTATCAGAGTGTCCATAGTCCAGAAGATATGCCACGCCCCCTCAGCCTTCTGACACCTCTTATACCCATCTCCTTACCAGCCACACAGGCCAGTCACACAAGTCTCAGATGGTCTTCAAACCCTCCATGCTGGTCACCACCTGTCTCCAATGTTCTTTCCTCCAGATCTTTACAAAGGTGAAATCCCTTCTCAAAAAGGCCTCTCCGACCCTCACCAACCTCCACCCTGAGCCTCTCTGTCTTCAGCCTAATTTCCCATGGTATCTATTACCATTGGAACTGACTTAGTCTATCCCCAAGGAGGCAGGCAGCTCCTAGGAGACAAGAATTTGTCTGTCTTAGTCACCAGGTCCCGGATTCAATGTCCAGCACTGGAAAAAAAAACTAAACAAACAAGGAAACAAAAAGCCCTGCACATTTTTGAGCCTGGGTATACCTGACCTTGGAGGGCCCTCTTTAGAAAAAACAAACAAACAACAACAAAGAATATAAATCTTCGAGTTCAGGAAACAGGGAGAGACAGAGATGAAAGGGTGGCTACGTATTCAAGACAAGCCTACATAGGAAGTCCATATCTTAAAAAGCAATACCAGAAGTCAGCGCTCTGGAGGCAGAGCTGGATCCCTGTGAGTTTGAGGCCAGCCTGGTCTACAGAGTCAGTTCTAGGACAGTTGGAGCTACACATAGAAACCCTGTCTCAAAAAAAATTATTATTGGACTGGAGAGATGGCTCAGTGGTTAAGAGCACTGGCTGTTTCTCCAGAGGACAGGGGTTCAATTCCCAGCACCCACATGGCAGCTCACAACTGTAACCCCAGTTCCAGGAAATTTGTCACCCTCACACAGTAATACATGCAGGAAAAACACCAATGACCATAAGATAAAAATAAATCTTTAAATAAAATAAAACCAAACCAAAAATCTGGCCAGGTGTAGTGGGGTGTGCCTTTACTCTCAGTACTCAGGATGCAGAAGCAGGTGGAGCTCTGTGAGTTCTGAGTTCCAGGACAGCCAGAACTACACAGAGAGACCCTGTCTGAAAAAAACAACAAAACAAAACAAACCCAAACAACTGTGCATGCAAACCCGGGATCAGAGCTGGGGAAGCTACTGCAAGCGGTGGCTTCTGAGCTCAGGCTTGCTGAGTTTCCTGCTGGGATCCCGAGGCTTGGAAGTGATGATGTCACTTCATGGGAGTCACACACCAGTGCAGGGAACAGCCTCGCCACCCAGGGCCCGCACTGCTGGAGACAGTTGTTCCAGCCTTGGCTAAGTGTGAATCCCTGTCCTGGCTGGCTCACCGAGGAAGGCAGAGGGGGACACAGTGCCATTGCTGCGTGCCACCATGACGCTGATGCCCGTCTCTACAAAGGGGACGGAGAAGTCCACGATCTCAGACCGCTCCTCGTTGATGGTAAGGGAGCCGATGGCCATGTCCGCACGCTGATAGAACACCTGGGGCGGATCGAGGAGTTGGCAAGGGAAGCAGCTCAGGGGACAGAGGCCAGCGCCGGACAAAGCCTGACCCTGGGAGACCGTGATGGCGTGGGAGACAGACTGGGAGGTCTGGTTGATGAGTGAGGAGGGAACAGAGGGGCTGGGAAGTAAGGGAGAGAGAGCACAAGCAGGAACAGAAAAGGTCTCCTCTATCCCACCCAATGTCCGCTTCAGTTGCTTAAGGCCTAGGGACCCAGCCTCCCCACTCCCAAAAGCCCTCCCCACGAACTCTACCCTCCTGCCACCACCCCAGGAGTTTCACCCTTCTGGCCCTCTCTCCAAAGTCCCTTCTGACTCCGGCAGAAGTTTCAGTTCTCTTGGCCCCACCCCTGAAGATGCCCTTACCAAGCCCAGCAGTCTCCTTTGGCCACGCCCCCTGCTCCAGGAAGCCCTCCTCTTGGGCCCCTGTCCCTAGGATCCTCAGATTCCTCTCCCGCAGGTTCTGTCCCCGCCTCTTACCTCACCAATCATGCCGTTCCAGACACCATCGATCTTCTTGCCATGCTTGCCATTAGTGACCAGGTAGAGGTCATAGCTGAAACCAATGGTGTGCGCCAGCCTCTTGAGAATGTCAATGCAGAAACCCTTGCAGCACCGCTTCTCGGGGCGGGGAGCGTCAGGCGGAGGGCTGCGGGGAGCGACCAGGCTTGGAGAGGTTGGGGACCCCTGTTAGGCTCTCCCATGAGGCGGGGGACAACGCAGCTAAAGCTATGGCTAGTGCTTTCTTGGGAGACCAAAGCTTAAGAATTTCCTGGCATCCCCCAGCTGGAGGGCCGAGGGGCTGGGGCCTGACCCACTCTGCTGGGAAGAGGATTCTGAGACTGAAACCTCTGGATCCCCGGCTG